TGAAAATATAAAACAAGGAATGGAGGCTCAAGAGTTTACCGTCAATGGGAGCAAGGTCCTCGTCACCACCCGGCAGGGTCTTCAACACCTCGTCAAGGTCAAAATCCATATCTACATACATACGCCAAAACTCATTAGCCCAAAAAAACAACAAGCAAAAAATATGTGTAAGCAAAAAATCGTAAAAATTAATGAAACCACCTATCGATAGACGACTCATCCCCACTATTAACATGTTCTTCATGGTCAGAATCGATCCTAAGTCAGGTGCCAGGGGGTACATCGACCAACTCCTGGATTTGAGTTTTTAGAAGAGAAGTAATTTCTACTTGGCTATTGGAAAGCTGGACTTGGTGATGCCGCCAGTTGGTATTAAAGGGGAATCGACCTTCAGGAGGCCGGGCGAAGAAGAATCGGGACTTCCACCTGCTATTCGAATTCCTAAACTTAGGAAAGAGAAAACGGATCCTAGTAGTGAAAAAGACAAAAGCATAGCGAGTTTGTGCATCTCGAAGACGCACCTAAAAATGTCTATAGAAAGTGGAATTCTCCTCTTAAGGCAAACATACAAGAAATACAATGTCTTTCTCTACGCGTTGGGATTAATTTGACTAGGGGTAAGGTGGAAGTCATTGAAAATCGACACCAAGAAGGGATGAATGGGAAACCAAAAACCCCCATCCATAATGTCCTTATACACGGCTACCTCACTCGAATCGGAACCGGGAAGCCTTTCTTTGGGACTTGGGGCTCTATAGATATAATTTTCGACCCTATCATACCTAGCGAGACATTTTTCCAACTTAAGTGAGGAGTTGTAGAGACTATAACTTTTTGGAATTTCAAGGAGGACGATCTCACTGGCCGGATCCCACCCGATTTCTAAGTTTTGGTTTGGGGACTTGGTGGAGCCAATATGTCTCTTAGGGAAATTCGAAATAAACGCTTGAGAATCAGCTGAAGCGAACCGGCTATCAAACTCACAACGAAGTTCATCGGACGAAAGGAGGAAAGTCGAAGGATTTCGGCTGGTCGTAGGAGTGACCAGCCTCATGAGTGGGAGGTGGGGGGCTGGTCGATCGACCAGCTCCACCAGATCGGTCGGCCAATCGGTCTCCCGAATTTTCTTCGACATCGACCGGCACCCCACCAATACTTTCGTCTAAAGAAGAAGAAAAAAAATGATAGTCTTGTACATGATTTTGCAAAAAATGAAGAAGAAGAAGAAGAGAGTTACCTTGGAAGAGTGGGGAGGCTAAGATGTTGGGAGGAGGAGAAAATGATTCTCAAGTGAAGGACCGCCTCCTTTTTATAAGCAATGAAATTTAAATTCTTTTGGCGGGGAGGGGGGGGAGGAAATCCCTCCAAGTTAGGGGCCATTGGGTGGACACCAAGTGTTCAGTGAAAGAAGCTTCCAATTTTAAATTATACAACTCTGCTTGTTTAGGCGAATAAAAAAAGAAGAAGAGCCGGGACAGGGAAATTACTACCCCTTGTCGATTAACGTCGACAAGGGGCAGGGGGGCTAATAATATAAGTTAGCCTACATAACCATCCCCAGTGATGAACAATGCGGATCACTACACGTTGACGTGAAGCCGTCGACCCCCCGAGAGCACTCTACCTTCACGCAAGGCCATCGACCTCCTGGGGGCGCTTTACCTCTGCGCGAGATCGTCGACCCCCCGGGGGTGCTCTACCTTCATGCGAGGCCATCAACCTCTCGGGGGCGCTTTACCTCTACACGAGATCGTCGACCCTCCGGGGGCGCTCTACCTTTACGCGAGACCATCTACTTCCCGGAAATGACTTATGTGGCCACCCCAACACTTAATCAAAAATTCAAGTAAATTGATAAAGCTCCATGACAGTTATTGTGAATACAACCTTCAGGGGGGAAGTTGGAGATCTCCCATGAGAACATGGGTTAGTAGGAAAGCCAACGTGGGACACGTGGCACCACGATCACCCGACACTCACCCGGCTTCCAGCACCTATAAATACCCCCGAAGACGACATAGGTAAGGGGATTTTTTAACATATTCTAGCCATCTGAATTCCATCCTTATTTCTCCTGACGCACATACTGATTCTCACGCCGGAGGTAAAATGAGGGAGAAAGCCCCACCCTCACTTTTCAGGTTATGCACGTTCGCCGGAGTAACAGGAGAGCCACCGGCCATCAGGTAGATTAAGAGGTATTATTCCACCACCATCACACACACACACACACACATACATACATACATACATACATACATACATATATATATATATATATATATATATATATATATATATA